CATGCTCAGAGGATGCAGCCTCAAATTTTAATACCAGCTTGCACCAAATAAAAACCAAGCTTGAACGTTTGCAAGGACTGCTGTAGAGCCTAGAATCTGGATGTGCTTCTCCATCCAGTGCTGCTAGTCCCTTGCTAAGTGTCTGCTCCTAGGGAGGCAGCTAGTTGTGGTTTAGATGTTTGCTCTGCACCCCGCGAGCGAGCGCAGTCACTTGGCCCACTGCTCATGGGCGGGGGCAACAGAATAAATGTGTGGAGGGCATGTGGGGCCCCAAAGCAAGCGTCCTGCTGCCCAGTCAGTGAGGGTGGGGGGTATGGGAAGGTGAAGAAGAGGTGGGAGGTGAGAGGAGGGCTGAGGGATGGTGGAGGTAGGAGAGGAGGGTGAGGGCATTTGGACTGAAGATGAGGGACAGGGACAGGGGACAAAAGGTAGGGAGATGCGATTTGAAATGTGAAGGTGTCCCTAAGAAGTTGGGTTCTTCCGCCAGAAAGTCCTTTCTGAATAAATTCAAAGGCCCTGTTTCGAATGGAGTGGCCCCTCTGAGCGAGGGCCGGCAGCGCCCGGGGGCTGGAGAGGCCTGAGGCCGGGAGCGGGCCTCACCGGCAGGGTCCGGCTGCTGTGAAGGGTGTTGATAGCTGCCTGGGCCTCGGCGTGGGTCTGGAACTTCACGAAGGCGCAGCCTAGAGAATTCAAGGGACAGGAGGAAAGGATGAGTGCTCACCTTGGAGGCCCCTATGGTCCCCATTGCCCAAGAAAGCGGTGGGACAGGGGCAGGCGGGCCAGAGGGCCCGGGTGTGAGGAGGAGGAGGGTGGCGGGAGCTACCTTTGCTGGTGCCATCTGGCCCCCGCAGCACAGTGCACTCATCTATGGTCCCAAAAGGCTCGAACATCTTCCGGACGTCTTCATCTGTCTGCTGCTTCCCTAGCATCCCCACAAAGAGCTTCCGGTCTTCTGGGGGATAGGGCACAGGAGGAGGGGCATGTTCAGGGCCTCTGGGCTCCGGGCTCCATCCCAGCTTGGGACAGGCAGGGATGCCACCCTTTACCTTCAGCTTTTCCCGGGAGCTCAAGACACTCCCCTCACCCCGGGGACCAATGGCTTTTGGGTGTGAAAAGGGTGATGGTTGGCTCATCCCAGCTCTGGAGGACTTGCATTATTCCACTCTGGGCCTCAGTTTTGCATCTCTATGATGGGCTGAATCACACCCCCTCTGGCCACACTGACTCCTACCCAGCCTTGACTGGGAACCCTTCGCAGTTCTGACTTTCTTCCTCAAGAAAGGCTGTCCCACATCTACTCCAAGCCCTGGATTTGCAGGTTGAGGGAAAGGGACTGAGTCCAAAGGTACAGAACCTACCTCCTCGGCTCTCGCTGTCGGCTGGCTTGACCTGGATTGGCCTGTTCATCTAAAGGAGAGAAGAGAAGGCAACTGCTGGGGACCTTCTCTGAACACCCCAAGAGCCCTCCCCAGGCCAGGACCTGCAGAGAGGTAAGAGGGAGTAAACCCCAGGCCCAGGAGGTTTCCCCAGCCCTCTAAATTGCTGATGGGAAGGAAGGGACAGGGCCTAATCTTGTTCAGGTTAGGACCAGAGGGGATTAGAGGCTGTGGAAGGAGAGGATGCTCATGGGGCCCAGTGCCTGACTCAGGTAGGGCCCTGATGACTTGGCCGGGGATAGGTGCTGCTCTCCTCAAGGGAACAATGGGGCTGCCCACAGGACCTGTGCCTTGAGATGGAGCCCAACCAATGGGCTATTCAACAAGAGCTGCCTCAGTTCCACACAGTAGGAGCAACAGAGGTCAAGAAGCCCCAAGGAAGACCTTAGACTGAGGGAGACCCCACAAATGCCCCAACTGCCTTCTGACCCCTAGAGGAGTGTCTGCCTCTCTTTCTGCCCCCCTACACCTCTTGACCCCAGGGGGAAGGCATTCGGGCAGCACAAAGGGAGCAGATGCCCAGTCTCCGTGGCAACGGGAGAATGCGCGCCATGGCAACCGCCCACTCAGCCTGATTTATCCCTCCCGTCGCCCTGGCGACCACGGTGACGTCATCACTTCTGCTGCTCCACACACCCGCCCCGAAGGAATTGGGAGGGGGGTGGGAACAGGGTATGCTGGGGGTGGAGGACTTGGTGAGGGCTGGGAGGTGGGGGAGGGGCCCAGAAGGGCCTCCCGGAGGGAGGCATGTGGAGCTGGTCCTGCAGGGGCCATACTGTCCCTTCTATCTTCCTCCTGCAGATCAAATCCTTGGTGTCTCACAGCCAAGGCAGCTCCGAAGGAGGATTGCTGTCCCGTGCTCTTTCAAGATTCTCCGTGTGCCTGGGAGTCCCTCAGAGCTCTCCCCTCTCCCCTACCCCGCAGCATCTCCCTTTTGTTCAGCCTTCAGTGGGAATGCAGACATCCCCACTTCCACTCTCCATGCTCTTGTCTGGCCAGAGAACTAGGGAATGACTCCTGCAGGTTGATTTCCTTACCCAGGGTGGGAAGCATCTTGGGAACTGGAGAGGGAGAAAAGGGCTCAGTCTTCCGTGTCTGAAAATATTTTGCTATTAAGGACTTTGACCAATGGGGCCACACCTGATCACCCCACTCATCTGATGGAGTCCTAGTACCAGCGACCAAATAAATTAAAAAAGAAACTATTCATCTACATCCTGAGGGTGGGGCTAAGGTTATCTTCAGGGGAGGCATTGGGCTTGGAGGACTGGCCCTGCCACTCAATAGCTGGGTGACCTTGGACAAGTCATGTCTCTCCTCTGGGCCTCAGCTTCCTCATCTGTAAAATGGCCAGATCAGGCAGTCTTGGCCAGGTTCCCCTCAGCTCTAGCATTCCAGCCTGGATTGCTGTGTGTCCTCACTTAATACAGAGAAGGGCAAAAACGATAGTTCCCCCGCCCCACACTGGACCTTCTTCCCGGGTGTCCTGTTATGCCAGTCAGTCTGGCTGGACTCTGCTGGCCAGGGATTCCCAGCCCTGGGTCAAATCTAAGCCTCACTTCCACTGATAGTCCTCCCCTCCCCCCCATAATCTCTGAGAGCAGCTGGTTGGAGAGGGGGTCACGAAATCCTGGGGCCAATCTCCTCCAGCTTCATTCTCCACCAATCTGGGTTTATCCCATCTGAGGTTCAGTGTCCTCAGGAGAGTGTGTGTGTGAGTGTGTGTGCATGTGTGCGTGTGTGTGTATAGCAAGGAGTGGGGGTCAGATGCTCAGGCTCCTGATCTTTCACCCTCCTTCTGTCCTATACTGTCACCCAAGCAATCAGGAAGTCCCCTCGCAGGTACCTCAGCGGACGGACAGACACACACACGAGAATCAGAACCAGGGTCTCAGTGTCCGGGGATTCTCATGCTTGCCACTAACCCCTTCCCAACAGGCCCCTGGGGATTTGCTGTTCTAGTTGGGGATGGGGAACCTGGGGCCAGAGAGAAAGGATGCTACCCCTCCCTGCACAGGCTCCCAGGCACAGAAATAGCACATCAATAAATATCCACAGCTGATATGGATCTGCACAAAGGCACACACGAGTGTACAGACCACAGCACAGACCACACTGACAGAAGCTCCCCCACACTTCCTCCCAGACAGCCTCCCTTGGTGGCCCCCAATGCCCCATTGCCAGCCTCCTCTTGGCCTGGCACTTCCTGTGGGAAAGCTAGTCTTTGTTAGCTCAGCTCGGGCACACCTGCCCCCTCCCCTGAGTCCAGCTGGGCCCTGTTTACCTAGCAACCCAGCAGGCGCCTGTCTTCCTAGCTACCACCCCAGGTGATAAGGCCTCCCTGAGGGAGGGCCTCCAGAAGAGGAAGGGGGTTATTTATACTCCAACCCAGTCCGGCTGAGAACCCCTCACCAACTTGGTCACTTGGAAGGCCATAGTTCTTCTCACTTACAGCAAAGACCCCACGTCCAGGAAGAGCTCATCTAGCTCCTGGCTCCAGACTCTCACCTGGTGTCCCAGGCCACACACAGGTCTTCTCCATGGGACCAGAGTTTTATCACCCAACAGAAGCAGACGGGGGCTGTGTCCCTAGATTGGGGTTTTGGCCCAAGTAGAGGGGGAAAGGCGGGCCAGACAGAGTCCCTCACACCACCACCTCCAGGAGGCCATGCCCAGCTCACAGGAAGAATCCAGAGACCTGTGGCAGCACCTCTCCTGGGTATTCTTAGGGGAGAGAACCATAGGCCCAGCCCCCATTCTTTCTTTCAGCAGCCTGAAGCATCACCTATATGGTGGCAGCTTCCAGATTCTGAAGTGACAAAGATGGGGAGAAAGGAGAGAAGGCTAAGTGACCCCATTAAAAAAGAATCTGCAACAGGAGGGCATGCGGATTAGACAGCAGGAAGAACTTGCCAACACAACCGTGTAGAGCTGGCACACTACACACACACACACACATACACACACCACAGGCTGAGGGGAAACAATGCTGCCAGGATGGCCAGTGGCAGGGAGGCAGAGAAAAGACCTGGGGACACAAAGGGTCAGTAAGAGCTTGGTCACAGATATCTGCTCCCTAGACTGCCCTGGTCTGCTCCCCCAAGCTTCCAGCATGGGATCCCCCTTGGAGAAGAGAACCTCTCATTTCCTACTAGAGGCTCTGTCAGGCCTCTCTGCATCTTGTCCTCTGGGGCAAGGACCGGGGAGCTCGGGGGGGCAGGGCTAGACAATCATTAACTGGGCTGCCTTTCTCCCTCACCCCACACCCTGGGCCTCATTTCCTCTGGAAGGGGAGGCAGTGCCTTTCCACGCCCAGGACAGCACCCTGCCTGAGCCAGGCAGGTAATGGGAGGCAGACAGCCCCCAACTGGCTCAGAGGGCCTGGGGGATCACACCCCAGCTCCAGTCTCCCTTCCTCTCTCTCCCTTATCCCTTGCCCCTCTGGTTTCTGCAGGGGCTCTGAGAGAAGGGGAGATGACAGGAAAAGACAGAGAAACAGCAGTGGAGAGAAAACTGTTGATTTGTCAGGGGCCTCCAGAGAGAAAAAAGAGAGAGAGGAAAGTTGCGATGTGACGCCATAGGAACCAGGCTTCCCAGGGATGCGTGGGCCCATACCCACATGCCGGGCCTGTGGGCTGCCCACGCACACATGCGTGCATGCACGTGCTCCTGGGATTCCAAGCCTGCTCACACACATGCATGGACCTTAACTCCATAAGCAACGCTGTTCCGGGCTGCCTTGCCACCTACAGGGATCAGATAGTGGGTGACAGCAGGGAGCTGGCTGTTGATTTGCCGTCCTAGTGGTACTCAAGGTTGAGGGCCAGAGAGGGGGTGGGTCTCAGACCCTGGAGGGTTGGAAGTTGGGAGTATTGAAGCAGCTCTACTTTCCAAAACCCCCCACCCTCTTTCCCCATCTGTTTTGTCTATTTCCTTCCCAGGAAGAGATGGAGAATCAGCCTGCTCTCCATTTCCTTCATTGGAGAGGAGTAGAGGCTGGGACAGGTGGGTCTCCGGCACTTAGACAGTGCTTAGCGAATGTTTCCTAAAAGGATGGAGGGAGTTAGCTCTCAGGACGTACTTCCTGGGGTTCACTGTGCCAGTGACAACAGAAGCAGCTAGAGAGCAAAAGTGAATGGTACAACTTCCTTCCCAGGTTGTGTTATGGGGAGTAGTTGGGGGGAGTCTGGCATTCTTCATTCTTGCCCCATGCCAGCCCAGGCCTGGGACAATCTGCAAGGCTGGCTGAGAGGAAGAGACAAAGAGTCCTGTGCCTGCAGGAGCGAGGCCATACTAGGCGGGGTAGTGCCTGATCCTCCACAGTGATGGCTGCCCCGGCCTGTGCTTGCCTCCCAGGCTTTCTCCTAGCCTGGACCTGCCCAGGCCCTGCTCCACCCTGATGCCCTGTGGCCCTGTTCCTTTGCTCTTCTCAGCACAGTGATGCCAGGCCAGCCAGCCCCAGCTGCCCATCTCAGGCAGCAGGTACCCCTCCCCTAGCTCACAGCCAGGCTTCCTCCCCAGAGCCACGAAAGAGAGCTTGAGTGCCTCCCACTCACTCTGCCCCACACTTGGTGTCCAAAGTCTTCTCCCCACGCCTCCCAATCGGCTAGTCCTCCCTCTAAGTGTCGCCCATGGGCAGGTTGGGAAGTAGAGAAAGGGCTGCACCCGGGCCTTGCAAAGGTTACATGTACTCCCCTAATCCCTTCTCTCAGGTGAGAAGAAATGCGCACACTCACAGCAAGAAAGAGGGATGCTGGAAGGAGAGAGGGACTTCCTGGTGGTGAGAGGAGGTGGAAGATACACTCGGTGTCTTGGGAGGGTGGTGAGCCCCCTGCCCCTGCTAAGGCCCTTCTCAGGCCCCTGGCCCTGGAATGGCTGGGACTCACCCCTGGAAGCGTCTTCTGTTCGTGCAGGGCGCTCTGGGCCTTCAGGGCTGAATCGCGGGCACAGTATGTCAGGAAGGCACATCCTGAGGAGGGGCAGGGGCAGAGAGACCCGGTGGGGGGTGAGTCCCTGGTCTCCCCTCCCTAAAAGTCTCCCCTCCCCTCCAGGAGAATGAGGTCTGGAAAGCTTGTCCCTCCTTGCCACCTTCTGCCTGCTGGGGCGGGGACCTGTCTGAGAGGGGAGACATTCTGCCCAGGGGATCTCTGAGCTGATGAGCCTGGAACTGAGACCCAGAGGCCAGGAGGCTTAAATGGTGGTGATGGTGGGAGCGGGAAATGCACTAGGGCTGCACTGGGGCTTTCTGTGGGGGGAAGAGAAAGGGCATGTGATTGCCAGGCAAGTGAGTGGAGTGTGGTTTCCTCTCTTCCTTGGCTGATCTCCTTTCCTCCTTCCCCTTCGCCTCCACCTCCCTCCATCTTGGTCACCAGCACTCCTCTCCTCTCCTCGCCCATTTTCCCTATTTTCTCATCTCTCTCCAGCTCTCTGGGAGGCAGGTGGAGGGTGGAGAGCAGAATAGAAGAGAAGGGAAAGGAAGAGCATCCCTGGAAGTCTGGGTGGAGGGGGAGGCAGTGGGGCCCTTATGACCCCAGTGCCTGGAGCTCTCCAAGTCCTGACCCTGGGCCTGAACCCTGCTTAGCCACGTGGCACTTGCACAGGCTCGAGGTGCTTCCTCTCTTTGCCTCTAGCTCTGAACTTTCAAGTCCCCCAGCTTCCCAGCTGGTCACCAAGCTCTGTCCTTCACACCCTGCTTCTCAGGTCCCTCTCCTTCATCCTGGAACTGCCCTGCCCAGTCCATGTCTACTCTTTCCAGCTTGAGCACCTGACCCTGTGTCCTGACCTCCATCCCAATAGTATCCGAAGCTACTAAGACTGTCAGTCTTGCGCGAGCGCGCGCGCACACACACACACACACACACACACACACACACACACACACACACACACACGGCTGCCCAGCTCTTATGTCCCAAACCAGCTCTCTGTTCCTCTTTCATCCACGACATCACCTCTTCATCTCTGGGACCCACATGTCCGCAGCCCCCTTGACAGCTCTTTCCCCAAAGAGGCCATCCTGAGTCCTCCATCGGGGCCCCTGGTCACCCTGGCTGAGTCCTCTAACTCCTCCGTCACACTCCCCACCCCAGAAACTTTTCCATCCAGACCGGCCCTTTCCAGCCACTCCATCCCAGCCCTTCCCAGCCACTCCATCCCTCCAGCCTACTTCCCCCAGCCTCCCAGCCTCCCAGCCTCCCAGCCCACTCCCTGGAGCCTCTCCAGCCTGGCCTGACCCCTCACCCTTGTGCAGCCCGGTGTACTTGTCCTTGATGACAGTCAGCTCGAAGATACGACCGAACTGTTCAAAGATGGGCTTCAGATCCTTTTCCTCCAGATGCCTCGGGATCTGCCCCACAAACAGCTTGATGGCATCCGGCTCCTTCATTGGGGCGGCCCAGGAGGAGGGGCCGAGGGGAGCAGGGAGAGGCCTGAAGGCCAGGGGGAGCTGCCCAGCTAGAAGGCAAGTGGTGGGGGCCAGGGGGCACGTGGTGGGAGCTGGCTTTCCCTTGGGCCCCCAACCACAGTGCTGAGCAGAGGAGCAGCTTTTCACACAAAGGAGGCCAGAGAGTTGAGGGCTAGGGGTCAAGGGTCTAGGCAGGCACTGTCATGCCACCAGGGGGCATAGCCCAAACAAATGATCTCCTCCCAGGGATTTGGCAAATATCCCAGGATGGGGGTCAGGGTGGCCAAGACCTGGAGGGTAGGGTGGTATCAGGGGCGCTAGGAACTGGGGGCTGAGATGAGAGCTGGAGGTGGTGGAAAGGGCCTGAGGAGGGCAATGGGGATGGAGGCTGAGGGGTTAGGGGCCTGATTTGGTTGCCAGCACGGCGGGGGGTTGGAGGTGGGAGGTGGGGGGGACCTCCAGATGTGGGGCAGGTGGAGCTCTTGTTGGCTTCCCTG